AACAGAGGAAGAGGAAGGCCTCCTCTGCGTTGGAAAGACCAGGTGGAGAAGGACTTGGCTTCACTTGGCATTTTCAATTGGCGTCAGTTAGCACAGAAGAGAAATGACTGGCGTGCTGTTTTGGACTCGGCCAAAATCGCTTAGGCGGTTACAGCGCCAAATAAGAAGAAGAAGAAAACAAGTGCGACTTTTAAGCGGCTAAAAAATCGCGTTGAGTTTTAATGATTTGGTATTACTGATGTCTTTTTGCACTTTTTAACATATAAAAGTGAATTTATTGTAGAATAAAATGCGCAAGATCGTTGGAAACCAAATTAAAAGATCAACGCTATACATATTTGAAAAATTGCACTTTTTATATGCAAAAAAACTGCGAAATCCGTCGGAAAAAAATTCATTTAAAATCAACAGGATTTTTTAACCGCTTAAAACTTTCACTTGTTTCACTATAATTACATAACCGATGTAAATGCTTACCCAACATTTTTCTACAAATTCTGATTAAAAAGTTCAAAATTTAGATGAAAAGTTTTCTACGTTCTATATAAAGTTTGAGGGTTTGAGTTCTGTGGTTTCGATTAAAGCATGACCCATATTTTTGTATAAAAATAAAAGAAATATTTTAAGCTTAAGTCCGTGAGTTTCTGGCACGATTATGATTTTAATTTTGCTCAAAATACTTCAATAGGGCGTAGCATAGCAAAGTTACCTTATTCACCATCCTCAAAGGCTGGAGGAAATGTGGGGGCCCTAATCGATTATTAAATTAAATGTAATGCGTTGGCTTCGATATGGTCACAGTTTTTTTTCAGTTCTTTTTAAATAAGTACATATGCACAAGTCGATATTTTTTCATGAATTTATGTTTTGAAAATGACCGTCATCAATAGGCACTATCAAAAATGTGGATGACAAAACTTTTCTGGGCATTAAGAATTTTCAAATAACTAATTTTCTTGTGATTGACATGTGGAGGCCACGCCAGCGCCTATCCGTCTCTGCCTACCGTTAAAAAATACTCAACGCAAGAAACATAAACACAAATATCCATTGTTATTTGATATACACGTCGAAAATATTGTGCAATCCGCGTTTTTATGAATAAAACAAAGCAACAAAAAAAAAAAAATTAAGAAACAATTATTAACAGTAAAATCTACATTTTTGTGGGTACTTCGAAAGTTCTTAGTATTACAAACACTTTAAATTAAAAATTGTTGAAATCGGTCAATATTTTGAAAAGTTATTGGCAACTGGATAAATAAGTGTCCAGCAAACATTTGAAGTCACTAAGAAGTCTTATTTCGGAGCCTTTAGGCTTTTAATCAGCTGACATGAGTCCGACATGAAGTAAATTCCCTTCTTCCGACGTTCCACCTACTATTCATTTACATATATATTTTGGGCCCTCTAAAGACTCTCAGTTAACTATTTAAGGTTCTTCTATGAGTCTTCTTTGCTTGTTTCTTTGACTCTTATTGAACTCGCTTTAGAGCTGTATTTGAAGTTTTTTAGTCAGTATGCTACGTCCATTTTTTGCAAAAGCATTTAGCATAAATTTTTCCGCGGTCGCTGTTATATAGTGGTTATCAGTGCGCGCTACCATTCCGCAGGGCCTGGGCCTAAGCCCAGTTTATGATCAACATCATAAAACGGGTTCTAGTTTTAGTTATGTATGTTTTTTTTTTGTTTCTAGTCTATAACTAGGACCCCTTAAAGATTCATATATGTCATATGGTATACACGAAAAAAATGTATTGGCTACCGACTCACGAACATGCAACACATAGTAGCCCATACTCAAAATACATACATACAAATATGTTATGCAGGTATAGGGCTTCTCTTATACTTTGAAGGAATACTAATCTTTTCAATTGGATTATTTTATTGTTTTTTACCGCACTTCGAGTAAAATTTTTCTAAAAACCATGGCCCATTCAGCATACAAGATAAATTTATATGCATTCACAAAGTACATCCTTACATATATATGCACTACATATATACATATATATGTATGTATTATCTACCCAATCGGATTTACAAAAGCCCTCAGTATTAGAAGAACTGCTCATTTTTAATCCCTTTAAGTGCATTATGACACAATTCATTCCCCAATTAGACTGAATATAATAAATGTATGGATATTTATACATAAAAAAAGTATTGTCCTGATTTTTAATTTAAAAGAACTGGCACATTCCAATCACCTTATGTTATATAAAAAAAATGTATGTATATTATAAAAAAAATTAAATAACAAACACGTACGCATATACATACGTACATACGTATATTACTTGCATGTATAATACAATATATATGTATACACATACTATGTACATGCAAATAAATGCCTGTACATAAATATATACTCGTAAATTATGTAAAGTTAGGATCCTACTGCTGGAAATTTGTGAAAGCAAACTAGTGGGTATAACCATATTTACTTGTATAAATACATATATATACATATTTGTGTATAAATGAATGTAAGAAGCTATGATAAGCTTACTTTTAATTGAAATATTATAAATATTTAAATAGATATTTAACTAAGCAAGTTCTGGTAATTCAGAACCGTAACGAATCACACCAATATCACAAATCGTAACTTTAAGATAATATAGGGCTATACATTTTAGGCTACAGAACTGTATTGTATTTTTAGTATAATATTAAATAGAACACATGACCCACATGCAATTTACTATGTGTGTATTGATATTTTTGTGTATGCATTGATTGTTTTTATGTATTAAATTGTATATTGTCATATTGCAATATAGTGCAGATGTTTGTGTGTGTTTTAGGTATATGTATGTATGTATGTATGTAAATACAAAACTTGTGAATGTACTACATATGTATTTAGCACAAAGTGAAATTACAATTTTTAAATTCATTGCAAGAAGTGCAAAAGCGTAAGCTGCATATAAAAATTATACATAAATGTGTGATTTGAACTTTTTTTGTAAAATAAATATAAAATTCGAAGAATGAAGTATGTTTTTTAGCAACAAACATCAAATTTAGAAAAGTGCTCTCAATTTTTGAGAATGTTCACCTCAGTGATGTAGTAGTATCTCTGAGAATTGTTGAAACTTAAAATTAGATTTTGTGGTGCACACTACAGTGTGAAAATATTTGACATAATTATTTTTATGGCTAATATTTGTATATATTTTATTCTTTTGCAACCGAAACCACATTTTTGTCGAACACAGTAGAGGGAGTTATCAAATTTTTCAAATACACTTTTGTTTTGCAGCGTTAGAACACTTTTAAAGTCTTGATGTTAATCGCAAAAAAAATACATACATATGTACATATAAGAAATATATAAATTCTTAAAAAATAAATGCACCTCAACATTTCTTCGGGAGTTATTATGGTTTACTTTTTTTTTGGTGTTTAGTTTTTTTTTT